GTGTGTGTGTGTGTGTGTGTGTGTGTGTGTGTGTGTGTGTTTTAGGTGTGCAGATGTATGTGTGTAACAGAGAACACTACGGTTTCCTTCCGATTCCTCTGAAGCCTCAACAACACGTGGAAGATGAAAGAGAGAGTTTCATACACACCATTACAGAAGCTCTGAGTGAGTCTCACACACACACACACACACACATTTGTTCTTCTATCCTTATGGGAACTTTGCATTGACTTCCATTCAATTACCAGTCACTTTATAGCCTAACTGTGACCCATACCCTAAACATAACCACCCCAGTACATACCTGACCCCAAAACTAAACTCAGTTTAAACCTTAGTCCTAACCCAAACCCCCAACCCACCAATGATATTCCCCCCAATAGGGACTGGACTTTTGTCCCCATAAGAAACAGTGTGTCCTCACAAGGCTGTGTGAACAGGGAAAATGGTCAACAATCGTCCCCACCAGGTAACAAAACCATGCACACACATTAGTTTTTCAATCCTCGTAAGGACTTTGCATTGATTTCCATTCATTTTTCAGTCATTTTTAYAGCCTATACAGTAAACCATACCACCCCAGTACATACTTAACAATAAACTAAACTCAGTTTAGTCCTAAAATTAACCTCCCACCCTCCACCCACCCAAAACCAGCCTTTGAACTTATGTGGACCGGGTTTTGTCCCCCAATAAGGAGCAGTGGGTCCCCACAAGGTAGTGAATTTTGGATGGGCCTCACAAGGTCACAAATGCTAGGAAACACACACACACACACACACACACACACACACACACACACACACACACACACACACTGAATGTTTTGACTCCTCTGACCGTGACCACTTCACCTCTCAAGTTGTTTTTTTCACACTCTTGACCTCGACGACCCACTGCTGTAAAATCATGTCGACCTTCCTCATCTCCTTCTCCTCATCCTCCTCCCCTCCATCTTCCATCTCATTTGCCTCTTTTCCTGCTCTTCTCTCTGTTTAGAGTTGGACTAAACAAGAGGAAATGTTCTAACTGCACGGTGTTTGATTTTATAAACCTTTCTCCTCCCTTTTCCTTCCTTCACCAGTTGACCATGACATCAACCCCTCAGAGTTTGTCCACTCATCTCTTTCACCTCTGTCTAAGATGGGCTTTGATGAAGTAAGTTATAAGGGTTTCATTTTTTKAATTTGTTGTTTTATAAGCTAGAACCACTTTCTGTGAAAATCTCTGGTTCTCTCATGAAACCTGATCTGCTGTAAAGAATAATAGAATTAGTGTTTAAAGGYATTAAAATAGTTTTCCTGTTTCTTTTTTTCCCGTTGTTTAGGTTTTCCTGATTAATCTGAAACGCAGGCTGGACAGAAGAACCAGGATGTTGAAAACAATGGCCTCTCTGGGCCTTCAGGCCGTTCTGATAGATGCAGTGGACGGCAAGTAGGTCACAATCCTACATGCACCTAAACAATCAGCCTGAAGTGGGTCCTGATCTGGACGGAAATGTGTGAACTGATGTGAAACAGCAGCTTTCTAACACACCTTTACTTGGATAGGGAAACTTTTACTTTTTGTAGCCGTTTATTCCTTTCTGAGTCATGGGGAGGCTGGTGCCGCCGAACCTCTCACTATCTAACGTGTTGCTAAATATCATTTTCTCCTCTCCTCATCAATGTCCATAAATGTTTCTTGTCTCAGGGCTCTGAATGGTTCCCAGCTCCAGGCTCTGGGTATTGAAATGATGCCTGACTACAAGGATCCATACTCTGGTCGTGTTCTGACCCGGGGGGAGATCGGCTGCTTCCTGAGCCATCACTCCGTATGGACACARGTGAGAGCTGGATAATGAGTGACAGCTTGTGTGTTGATCTGTAGTTAATTCAAAGTGCAACTCTGTGGAGTTGAGATCAGTAGTCAGCAGACATGTGCACGAGTCTTTTTTTTGCAAGTCCAAGTCAGGTCACAAGTCTTTGACCAAAAATCCAAGTCAAGTCTCAAGTCTCTTGACCTCAGTTCCAAGTCTAGTTGCATGTATTACTTAACTGGCAGTTTGATCAAAGGTATTCTAACTATACTAGATTATATTCTATAATACTATCCATCCATCCATCCATCCATTTTCTGTACACGCTTCTTCCTTTTCAGGGTTGCGTGGGTCACTGGTGCCCATATCCAGCAGCCACAGTGCGAGGGGCGGGGTACACCCTGGACAGGTCGCAAGTCCATCACAGGGCTCTATAATACTATATTTTAATAAAATATTAAAACATAATACTGTTTTAAAAATGCAAATAAGGTTAAGGTTGAAAAAACAATCAAGCATTTAGAGTATTAACTGTATTTTGCACATGTAGTCTTACAAAAGCATATTGCCATTGACAAAGAACAAATCCAACAAGTCTGCTGCTGATTTTACAATAAAATACCAGAAATGTTTTTAAAATGCATAAAAGTATGCCAGTGAAGATGATGAACCTTACAGTAAAATGGCCACACAAGTCATCACAAAAACAAATTTTGGATTTGGACTCCACACACTTTGCATTTTACCAGTCTCTTGTCATGGCGTTGAATAAAGTCTCTGTWAGCAAAGCTTATAATGAATGGCAGTGGAGCAGCCTACTGCARTRCACCTGCCATGCTGAAGCTCTGTTTGTCACGTAGGGTACATGTCATTAACATTGTACGGTGCTGGCCCCTCCCATCAGGTGAAGTGGGGTGGAGTGTATGGAAGAATTTTTCTGACTTTAATCAAGMGCGTATATTTTCAGTTTGAGAGCAGGAGTAAATGTCTTTGCACTTAAAACTTTATGTGTTTGTTCTCAAAAGAGCAGAGCATGGAGATGTATTGAGGGAGTGAGCATCGTGAGCCGGGCAGTGAAAAGACTTGCATTATTCGCAAGTCTCAAACCACAAGACCAAGTCAAGTCTCAAGTTTTTAGGGTCCAAGTCCAAGTCAAGTCTAATGGTGCGTCACACCAAACACGATTTCAGCATCAGGAGCCTCAGGTTTACATACAAAGTCTATGGTGGACGCGCTTCAAGCAACGTCGGGAAGKGCTGCGGCGCCTCAAGCGCGATTAGAGCAGCGCGATTTGAACGATTTGAACGATCTGAGCGTTCRACGTGCTTGAGGCGCAAATCGCTGAAGTTAGAAAATCTGAACTTTTGCAGCTCGACGCGCCGCGTCAACCAATCAGAGAGACTCCACTGTGTGACGTAGCGACATATTTCCCGACGGGACAGTTTACTGAATGGTGTCCACTAACCTGAAACAGATGGAGAGGAGCTCTTTAGCTGAAATCGAGTGCCTGCAGTCGGTGTCCTGACAGGAGATATCCTCACCAATACGTGGCAGCGGCTCATCAGACTGGAAAAATAGTCCTGAAAGCGAGCTGTGAGCCTCTACTCTGAATTATCTGGTGAATTAATTATGAAATAATTATCTGATGAACGTGACATGCTCTTGCTCTCTGTAAATAAAGCAAAGCCACTTCCTCGTCCGACATTAAACAGAGCCCGACAGAGGAGGGAGGGGCGGGGAGGCTGTTGACGTGCAGCGCTTTAAGAGCTGACCTGCGTCTGACCTCAAAGTGCACRAGCTTCAAGCTTCAGCGTTGGCTGCGATTTTGAAGCTGAAATCGCGTTCGGTGTGAACGCAGCATAAGTCTAATAGTAGGGACTTAAGTTTGACTCAAGTCCAAGTCCAAGTCACGAGTCCCCATCTCTGGTAGTCAGTATCTTTCATGCTGTACATATTTCTAACAGATTTCTGTCATCTTCAAACAAAGCCCAAACTCTAACCCTTTCATTCTGGTTCATAAAATATGTTATTTTACATAACTTCACACTTGTTTCAYCTTTTCATTACTTTGTTAATTATAGATACATTTAGGATTTCTTTACACTGATAACAGTCACTATATGGTTGGTTCCCTGTGATGGCCTGTTTGAAACAATTTGCAAAACAGAATGAGTCAAACTAATTAACTAATAAGGAAAAATGAGATTTAGTTTTAGTTAGTACTCATTTAAACCTAAATGAAATATGCATTTTTTTCTAGTCTGGCTTAAGAGTTTTGTCCTCCTATCTATTTCATGACTTTGATCACTTTGAAATACGCAACAGTTTAAAATATATATTTTTTGTCCAAAAACATCTGCWGTCTAAATTCATGTCACGTTACGATGGTTTCTGCATCTTATTTAAAGGGAACTCTGACTAGTTTTAATGTTGGGCATTATTTAATAAACATTTATTTATAGATAAACTATTTATTATAGTTTTTTTAAATGTAAAAAATATAGGCTGTTGTCACATGGATGTTGCCATGTTATTCCCTCTGTAAGGCATTCTGTTTGAATGCTGCTGTTTACTAGGTCCTCTGGTGCGAGCTCTAWCCACCCCATAGACTAATTTTGGATAATATCTGATGATTACCTCTTTTAAATGAAACCAGAGCTCATTAAGAGGAGAATGTAGAAATGACTCATCCTGCAAATGAAAATGAGGATGGAGGACAATGGAGCTGCTTCAAGTAAGGAAAACCTCAGCTTAGCCTGTTAGTGTTTGATTAGTAGCACCTGGGGGTACCAGAAGTTCAAAACAAGTTTCAATAGCAACAGCAAAATAAGCTGTTTGGCAGAGAAGATTTGGTAATTTTTCTTGTGCGGAACCCACATACTCAGCTCTACTCCTCATCCCACAAATGCATGTTCCTTACAAATATAGCACCATTTAAAATGGAAATTAACAGGCTTTCTAATGGTATAAGGTTTATTGCCAAGAAGCATTGTTACAACAAAGAAATAATGCACTAAACTTAGTTTATGGCAGTACTGTACAGCATTAGCTCCAGAGCTAATACTAAACATCATGTTTGGTTCAACTTATATATTGTGCAAAACATAAAAACTAATACAAAATATAAACTTATTGTCACACATCAAAGCTTTTTAGCACTGACTCTTTGTTTCTCAGTCTCAACTGTAATAATAATAATAATAATAATAATAATAATAATAATAATAATAATAATCATCATCATCATCATCATCATCATCATCATCATCATCCCCAGAATTGCATTGTGTCAATAAAAAAATGGTGACTTACTAAAGTGAAAAATGTACTAAACATATATAATTTTTTGAGTAATTAGATTTTTTTCATGTGTCACAAACAGCAACTTTTATTAGAATAAATAAATAACACATTAAGGCCAACATGTGTAAGTAATGCGAGATCCTTATAAAGTTAGTACATCATTTGATCAGTTAGAACGGACAGTGATCCTCTAAAATCAGCAAAGCAGAGAGCTAAACATGTGGCAAAACCACTTTATCTATCTTCTTTGATAATCAGGTGGTGGATCGTGGACTCCAGAAGGTTCTAGTTTTGGAGGATGACGTGAGATTTGAGCCCAGGTTTAAACGGAGGCTTCAGACCATCATGGATGACATCAACAGAACCCAGCTGGACTGGGACCTCATGTAAGAATCCTGCTTTGTTTACCTGAACATCTGTGTCTGGATTCGATTTTACGATCGAAAAACATTGTTTTTATTTGAACACTGATCAATAGAATGTTCTGCCTCCCTTCAGCTACGTGGGGCGTAAACGGATGCAGGTGCAGCAGCCGGAGCAGTCAGTGGAGGGTATAAACAACCTGGTGGAGGCCGACTACTCCTACTGGACCCTCGCCTACGCGCTGTCACAACAAGGGGCCAGAAAGTTACTGGCTGCTCAGCCTTTCTCCAAGATGCTCCCTGTTGACGAGTTTCTTCCCGTCATGTTTAACAAACACCCCAAGTTAGTCATTACTTCACTTTCCTTTAAAATTACAGAGTAAATGTGGCAAAACTTTTAAATCCATTACTGGATGATGTCTACAAACACGCTYTGGTTTCAGAACAAACTGACAATTTCTTTGAGTTAGATCAGGGGGGTCAAACTCAATTTCTTCGAGGGCCAACTTCCACGTTCTTCATTGCATCGCTATGGCTGTGCACTGCTAACAAACAATAACTGAGCTCTACGTGGTATTTCATGCACAGAAACAGCATTTTAACATGTCCTCTTCTAAACACTAATTTAGCTGGCGAAATGCAGCAAAATGGAGATTTTACACAGCAAATTTTGTCCTTGGAGGGGGTGCTGGAGAGGGCTCCTAATGGGGACTCACTCGTTCTGCTGAGGGACTTCAACACTCACGTGGGTAATGACAGTGAGACCTGGAGAGGCGTGATTGGGAGGAACTCCCCCCACCCCACCCCCGATCTGAACACGAGTGTTGTTTTGTTATTGGACTTCTGTGCTCATCATGGATTGTTCATAACGAACACCATGTTCAAGCATAAGGATGTCCATATGTGCTCTTGGCACCAGGACACCCTAGGCCGCAGTTCGATGATCAACTTTGTTGTCGTCTCATCTGATCTGCAGCCGCATGTTTTGGACACTCGGGTGAAGAGAGGGGCGGAGTTGTCAACTGACYACTACCTGGTGGTGAGTTGGCTCYGTTGGTGAGGGAGGATGCCAATCAGACCTGGCAGACCAAATGTATTGTGAGGGTCTGCTGGGAACGTCTGTCAGAGTCTCCCGTCAGGCGGAGCTTCAACTCACACCTCCGGGGGAACTTCGAACACGTTCTGGGGGAGGTGGGGGACATTGAGTACGAGTGGGCCATGTTCCGTGACTCCATTGTCAAGATGGCTCACCTGAGCTGTGGCCGTAAATTTGTCGGTGCCTGTCGTGGCTGCAACCCTCGAACCCGCTGGTGGACACCAGCGGTGAGGGATGCTGTCAGGCTGAAGAAGGAGTCCTATGGGGGGTGTTTATGGCCTGTGGGACTCCGGAAGCAGCTGATAGGTATCAGCAGTCCAAGCAGATTGCAGCTTGGGTGGTCGCTGAGGTAAAAACTCTGGCGTGGGAGGAGTTCGGAGAAGCCATGGAAAACAACTTCCGTATGGCTTCGAGGCGATTCTGGTCCACCATCTGGCATCTCAGGGGGGGAGAGCGGTTCGCCACCAACACTATTTATGGTGGGGATGGTGCGCTGCTGACCTCAGCTCGGGATGTTTTGGGYCGGTGGGCGGAATACTTCGAGGACCTCCTCAATCCTACCGACACTTCTTCCCATGAGGAAGCAGAGCCTGGGGACCCTGGGTCGGACTCTCCAACCTCTGGTGCCAAGGCCAYCGAGGTGGTTAAAAAAGCTCCTCGGTGGCAGGGTGCCAGGGGTGGATGAGATTMGCCTGGAGTTCCTTAAGGCTCTGGATTTTGTGGGGTTGTATTGGTTGATGTGACTCTACAATATTGTGTGGACATCGGGAGCAGTTCCCCTGGATTGGCAGACCAGGGTGTTGGTCCCCCTAATTAGAAAGGGGGACCGCAGAGTGTGTTCCAACTATAGGGAGATCACACTTCTGAGCTTCCCTGGTAAGGTCTATTCGGGGGTTCTGGAGAGGAGGGTTCATCGGATAGTTGAATCTCGGATTCAGGAAGAGCASTGTGGTTTTCGTCCTGGTCGTGAAACAGCGGACCAGCTCTACACCCTTAGCAGGTTCTTGGAGGGTGCATGGGAGTTTGCCCAACCAGTCTACATGTGTTTTGTGGACTTGGAGAAGGAATTCAACCGTGTCCCTCGGGGACTCCTGTGGGGGGTACTCTGGGAGTATGGGGTACCAGGCCCATTGATATGGGCTGTTAGGTCCCTGTATGACCGGTGCCAGAGCTTGATCCACATTGCCAGTAGTAAGTCGGACTCATTTCCGGTGAGAGTTGGACTCTGCCAAGGTTGCCCTTTGTCACAGATTCTGTTCATAACTTTGATGGACAGAATTTCTAGGCATGACCAAGGTGTTGAGGGGATCCTTTTTGGTGACCTTAGGATCACGTCTCTGCTTTTTGTGGATGATGTGGTCCTATTGGCTTCAACAGATCATGATCTCCAGCTCTCATTGGAGCGGTTCRCAGCCGAGTGTGAAGCGGCCGGGATGAGGATTAGTGCCTCCAAATCCGAGACCATGGTCTTGAGCCAGAAACCGGTAGTGTGCCACCTCCGGGTCGGGGAGGAGATCCTGCCCCAAGTGGAGGAGTTTAAGTATCTCAGGGTCTTGTTCATGAATGAGGGAAGAACGGAGTGGGAGATCGACAGGCGGATTGGTGCTGCGTCTGCAGTGATGCGGGCGCTGTACCGGTCTGTTGTGGTGAAGCGGGATCTGAGCCAGAAGGCAAAGCTCTCGGTTTACCAGTCGGTCTATGTTCCTACCCTCATCTATGGTTACGAACTTTGGGTAGTGACCAAAAGAACGAGATCGCGGATACAAGTGGCCAAAATGAGTTTTCTTTGCAGGGTGTCTGGGCTCTCCCTTA